TATCACTTTCATTTTCATTATCATGTTACTCATCACTTTCATCATCACAAGTTTGTATCTTAGTGGCCTTAGCCATGAAGCATGATAGAGTGTCGAAAAGAGAAGGCTTCTCATTGATAGCAATGCTTACAAGTGCCTTCTTCTTGGTGGTCTTGTCGTCATTACTATTATCATCATCACTTGAGGAAACATCACTATCCTAAGTGACCACATATGAACCACCCTTCTTTTTCTTGAAGGTCATCTTGTCCTTCTTCTTCTTTTTTCTTCTTGTCCTTCTTCTTATTCTTTTTGTCATCATCATTGTCACTATTGTATGGACATTGAGCAACAAGATGATCTTTGCTTCCACAATTGAAGCATCTTCTTGACTCTTCCTTGTTCTTGGATGAAGATTTCTTTCTTCTATTACGGTAACTATTCTTCATCATGAACTTGCCAAATCTCTTGACAAAGAAAGCCATCTTCTCATCATCTACCTCATCAAAGCTCAAGTCTTCATCTTCACTTAATGATTCTTGCTTTGCCTTGTCCTTGGATGATGTGGCCTTGAATGCCACACTCTTCTTCTCATCCGTCTTTTCATTTTTCTTCTTCTTCTTTTATTTCTAAATGCATATGCAATGAGTTAGAGCATCTAATGGCACTTTGATAACTACATTTCGATACGAGTTTCACCCCTCTTAATAGTATGACTATCGATCCTAAATGTGATCACACTCACCAAATGTCTTGATCATCAAACCAAAAAAACTTCTATCAAATTTCACCTTTACCTTGAGCTTTTTGTTTTTCTCTCTTCTTTTCTAAGTCTAAGCATTTGATCATCACCATGACATCACTATCATCATGATCTTCACCGTTTCTTCACCACTTAAAATAATGCTACACATCCCATGATCACTTAGATAAACTAGGTTAGCATTTAGGGTTTCATCAATTCACCAAAACCAAACTAGAGCTTTCAGATTAAACATCAATTCTCGGCCAAGTGTACTACACAATCAAATGACCTAGTTAAAAGAAAAAAATAGAACTTTAATTGACATGACAAGTTCAATGTTGAGTTGTGGCTAATTTGTGAGATTTAATCTCTAATTAAACATTGATTAGCACATGTTTACTATAGCATTACATGGACTAATCATAGATTAATTAGGTTTAATAGATTCGTATTGTAAATTAATCTCCTTTATAAAAATTAGTTTTATAATTAGCTTATCTATCCTGATATTGAAGGGGCAAAATTTCAGCCTCAATTTTCGCTCTCATACTAATTTTCGTCGGCCTTTCCTTAACTATTTTTTGCTAACTCTCATCGATTTGGTTTCAACCACCATGGACGACCAGATCGAACCAAATCGAACACAAATTTCTTAACGTACATGGACTTTGCCACACGAGAGTCAAGTCCTGCATGACCAGGAGTTTCAATCCCAACAGAAAAAAACACAATCGAATCAAATCTTAAGAGAGACGTCAACGACATACAAGAGAAGTTGGTGCCCATCGCCAATGCTCGATCCAAACACCCAATAAGAAAGGATCATGTGCAGCACATGAATGGAAGGGGAATCGAGCAATTGTAAATCTAAGATTGAAATTCCCAAAAATATTTCTCAATCCGAAGCCTAACACAAATCAGTACAACGATTTGGTGCATGTAGATATATGAAAACGAATCGACTCTGTTTGGCTCGTAGCGCATGTAGATCCGGCCATCCCTGACCGAATCGGCGCTGCTTGGCTCGTCGACCTCTTAGTCGGCGTTGCCTTCCTTGGCGACTTGGCCGAGGCTCTCACCACCGTAGCTCCATGCTCGCGCTGGCACTCACCCATGCCGACGCGCCCTACTCACGCTCAAGCGGGCCGTGCGAGGATAGAGGAGCATGGCGCTGAGAGCGGCGAGCGAGACTGTGCAGGCATGGGACTCGGGTGGTGGCGGCAGGAGCAAGGGATTAGGGACGGGGTCGCAAAGAGCAGGGTGTTAGGGTTCGATGATTTTATATGTCGATCGTGGGATGGTGGCCTGATAGGTCGTGGCCCGTGGGTGATGCCGTGATGGGCCGTTTGCGGTGGCTATTGGACTTGTGTGGGGTTCGTTCTTTTTTTTCTCCGTTCCTTCTCCCGCTCGCATGGCAATCCCTCTGTGAGTTTTTTTAATTTTTTTCTTTCGGATGAAGTGTTTCCATTTATTTAGTCTTATAAACATTAAAAACAAAATTAAGTAATAAATAAAATATATCATGGATCTTTGAAACCTTGATCTTGCCTAATACAATATATCATGGATATTTCTACCACTAAATTGTTGAAGTAGTTTTCAATAGAAATTGAACTTATTATTATTAGAACCTAGGGCGGCTAATGGCCTAATAACTAATTAAACCATGAACTCAAATCTTGATTAGTTTGTTATTCAATCTAATTAAAATAAATGTATCTCCAAGATATCCGCATATACCCGTGTAACCCTCAACAAGGGTTGCCATGTGAAAATCAAGTCTCGGTTATAATTATCAAAGGAAAAAACAATTCTTTCATGACGATAACTAATCCCTTGCTGACTTAAATAGGTATTAGAACTATATATTTTTATGGATCCTCAAAATAAGTCACGAAACTTGATATCTAACTCTACCAACATATGGATAGTATAAAAACTAAAGTTATAATGTATTTACAAATGGATATTTCTATCACTTACAACAAAAGGAAAAATATATCAAAGTTGTATTTTAATTCGATGCAGAATTATGGATATCATGGTCATCATAAAATAAATTATAGCTTTTAAGTTTTATAGAAATGATAAAAATATACCGATATGTAACGCTCACGCTCTCATTTCCCATTTGGGCCTGTTCACTTGTGATTGCTGCAACGGACGCTCGGGCTCCAGCATCCACTCTCAACAACAGTAACACCTATATAATTAGAGCCATTGCATCCGCTGCCACCGTGCAGCAAGCTGAAGCGAACCGGTAGAACGTTTGATAGATTTCATGTTTGCTAGTATTTATAATACTCCTATCAAATATCCAGGATGATGGTTACTAACACGTGTACAGGATGTTCAACAAATAAATTTTGGATTTGGGTCCAGGCGGAGGTGGGCATGCTCCGCTGCCTGCTCGTCGATATCAGTGGCGATCCAAGGGGAGATTGGCGCGTTCCCGTATCAGAGGCCGGGACCCGGCGGCCGCGCTCGTCTGCTTGCCGTTCCTCACTGCGCCTGTGCTAGTGCTCGCCGCGCCTGTGCTAGCGTATAGGTCTGTATGATCCGATGGACTAAGCCATTGTTTAGTTTGCGAAAAGTTTTCCTAAAAAATGCTACAATATCTATCATATCGAATCTTACGATACGTGTATAGAACATTATATATAGACGAAAAAAACTAATTGCACAGTTTAGTTGAAAAACTAATTGAGCATTATATAGCCTGATTAGTCCATAATTGAACACTAATTGCCAAATAAAAACAAAAGTGCTACAGTAACCAAGTTTCTAACTTTTTACCAACTAAATACGGGTTAACAATTTGGCTAAAATTTAGCCTATAAGGATCAAAACAGATGGACTAGTTATTGAACTAACAACTAGTCCAGGCTCTAGCTAGTTGTTAGACCACTGATCCATCAAAGCCAGCTATCAGAGCTAATTTTTGCACCCTTCGACAAAAAGACTCCGCATACCCTTCCGCAACCGCTGTCGCGCCCCCAACCCTATCACAGTCGCAGCCGCAGCCGCCGCTCCCCTGTCGCCCTCCGCCGCGGCCGCCGCGCCCCTGGCCGGCCGGCCTCTTCCTGCTGCTCGCCGAGATGGCCGAGTAGGTCTGGTAGCCGAATCCTGCTGCTCGTCCGGCGCTGTCATCGATTGGGACTCGCCCGGCACCGATTCGTCCTCGCCGGTGGCTCCACGTCCTCGCGCCGAAGCGGGATGTCGTGGTGGGCCTCGTCCCGCGACTCTCCCGGGAGTCTGCGGCGCATCTTCTCTCGCTCCTGGCCTTTGCGGACGAGCTGAGGCAGAGCAGCGGCAAGCACACGGGGGCAAGCACACAGGGGTATAACCGACTTTGTGCTGAGATAGTAGTACTTATTAGTCTAGTGATCCAAATAGAACTGAACTAATCACTAGTCTGTCTCCCAGAAAACGACACCTTTAAAATCTACCGTCCAGATTTATTCTCGGCCTTCTCTCTCGGTGCTCACTCAAATCGGACGGTGAAGATCGCGTGTGTCATCATCCCTCCTCCCCAATCCTCATCATCCCGCACCCAGCGAACGGCAGCCGGCACGAGAATCACGCGCGCGACTTCCGCGCGAGACCAACGCGCTCGATCCCCGGGCCACCGTCTCCGTGCCGCGTGCGCTCGCAGTCGCGGCCGTGCGCGCCAGGCGGACGCCCTCGCCATCGCCCTTCCATCCGGCGGCCGGAGGTTGCGCTCCCTGCCTGACTCCATCTTTCTGCACGATACCGGCCTGAAGGACTGAACGGGTGTGCGGGTGGGGATCAGTCGGCAGCCGGCGACCGAGCAGGTGTGTGCGTATGTGTTTCTGCTGTTGCCGCTGGTATAGGTCTACCAATAAATGATTCCCTGTTCATCGTGTAATAAATGATTCAAGAGCGTATGCTGCACCTTGCCTTGAGATTTAACTCAACGTTGCCTTCAAGATTCCCTGTTGAGCTTATGCAATGGTTATGTCTGATGAAAGTGTTCGTCGCTTGCAGTATGGTGTTCAAATCACTGTAAACTGATTTAATATTGCTAGTGCAACTACAGTCATGCAACCAGAATCACCTAGCAGAAATCTCAAAATTATGTTCATAAATACTCGCATCCAGATGATCAATCTTGAACCTGAGAAATAGTGATCTTAAACATTATATAGTCAATGCTTCCTATTGGTCTGTATTTCAGGTCTAAAGATTGGTAATTTTGATGCCTAACTCAGAGTTCCGAATTTCGTCTCTATGATTACCAGACCTCAAGGACAAAATGGGGACGCCAGGAGAGGGACGCACTGCGCTCAGCGACGTAACAAACATACATACTCCAGGTAAATGCATATACACATATTGCCACAAGATATATGTAAAACACCATGTATAAACACCACCATATCAACAGCTTGCAGCAAAGAACAACGCAAGAGAGAGGAAAGGAATAGGAAGCAACGTGAGTGCCGCGCCAGGATAAGGGCTCAAGAAACCATCGAGGAAAGGGAGGATAGGAATAAGAGGCAGCGTGAGTACCGTGCTCGGCGAAAGGCTGAATCAAATGTACTTTCAAACGCACCGGATCTTCTTCCTCAAACACATCAAATGATATGCATTGTTTGTTTTGTTCATCGGCCTTGCCCTTTTTACTTCAACAGCGGCACAATATCCAGAAAATAACACCGTTGAAGGAGCGCGTTCAACTTATGGGACAGCGGTCGTTCTGCAACCATCGGGCGAAGGATGCATTTCCGCCCCAACCATGACTGTTTTTGACGTCATGAATATGGCAGGAACCTCGGCCGGAGTAGGGCAACAGTCACCGTTCCAGACAGGGTATTCCAGAATTTTTATTGGGCCATCTTCGGTCCAAGACAAAGATAATCAAGACCCATGTCATTCTCCAAAATGGTTGCATCGAAATGATAACTACGTCAGAATGAGGCATCAAGTGTATGGAGATAGTGCACTTCAGCAATCTGCTGAAATGTTTCAGGATCCAGGTGTGTGGCATTTACTGACATTTTTACGATAACTAGCTGATGTATGGTTGAATCTTTTTCATTTTATTTATATGTCACCCTAAGAACAAATTGCTCATCAGTGTCCAGTTCAAGTGCCAACAAGCTACTGAGAAGAGAGAGGTACAACTATATGGAAGACTCAAAAAAGCAGAAATTATTGGAGAAAAAAAGGGACTATGCAAGGGATAAGAGAATGAGTGCACATGAGTCCATGCAGCATACTCCAAACAGCAATGCACAACCCACAGGTGGCCTCATAGTTTTTTCCCTTGTACCACTTTTTTTTGCAACCCACAGAGGCATAGTGACAGCCCACCTATTTTCTGCAGATGTATCACCTAAATGGAAGCATCGATCGGGTAGATGAATATGACACTACCTTGTTCCAACCTGCACACCCTGAATTAGAAGAATATGATGAAGAAGAAGGCGGGTTGCTTTTTAATCTCACAAATACCATTACTTCATATCAATTAGTTTTTTACCGATGCCATGCTGCCATGAACCATGTAACAGATCACGTAGAAGACATGGAAGATGAGAGCGAGGACGACGAAACTAGGCAATTTCGTGACGAAGGTACCTCTGTCACACCATGAATCATCGTTTTTTTTAAATTTAAATTAATTTTACCGTGTGTATTCAGAGAAATTCCATATCTTTGATGCAGATGGATTCGAGTCATACCGTATATATGGCAATGGTGTTGGTGATAATGACGCTGATGACCCTTTCGACTACGTCTACCAGGATTTACCAGATCAGCATCATGTTTTGAAAAAAGTACCTAATTAATTGCAGGCACTGTGGGGCGATACGGTTCGAATATGAACCACCAGGATTTTGTTGCAGAAATGGAAAGGTTCATGTGCATATTCCTGAAGTGCCGGCTGATTTAAAAAAGGTTATTTACCAGTCAGGTAGATAATGATGCAAAATATTTCAGAAAACACATACGTTACTTCAACTCTCATTTCTCTTTCACGACCCTTGGTGTTACCTTGGATCGGCGAGTTGCCACCGCAGCAGGAACTGGTATCTATACATTCCGGGTGCAAGGTTTCTTGTACCACCGACTCGACCATTTGGTGCCAAGTTCCAAAGGGTTGCGGCACATGCAGCTCTACTTTTATGATACAGCAGATGAAACATTAACACATAGATCACGGAGATCTCCTGACCTTGATATCAACCTCATAAGAAATGTTCTCAAGATATTAGAGGACAACCCTTATGTTCACACCTTCAAGAGGGTTGGAGCCATACCAAATCTTGATGACTACGTAATTGAACTAAACACCAATGTCATGCCAGACCAACGGAGGTACCTTGTCTACCACACTACCTAAGTTTTTTTTGTAATTACTACCTTCGCTTATAAATCTAATTAGTTCTTCTTTCGCTTATCGCTATGTCTACACTACAAAGGTACAATGCACCGACATCTTCACAGGTTGCTGCTATCTGGACCGAAGGAAATGACCCCAGAGATGTTTTGATAGGAGTGTGCTTGTGTATGCAAGAGGAGACTGCCCACTGTATATCAAAGCATACCATGGTTGTTATGATCCATTGTCATATCCTATATTTCATCCTAGGGGACAAACTGGATGGAATAAATTTATGCCATATAATGGATCATCTACCGTTCAGGCTACTACTACTCCACGTGCCACACATAGTGACACACCATCTTCTGTGCAGACATTAGAACATGCCCCTACAGGTCAAATAATATCCTTGTATTATATTAAATTCAGATCTAACTAACTCATGGTGGTACAATTTTTTTCTAATATTTTTTCACGCTACACAGATGAGGCCGAAAACGACGCTAACATACAACAAGGTGAATGCTTAAGTAGCCTGGTGGAGGAAAATCAATCTGGAAGATTTGTGACAGCTCGAGAATACTATTGTTTCTTAATGCAAGTCAGAGGGGGTCTTTTTAACAACATGTTATTCGGAGGGCGACTTTTCCAGCAGTGGGTTGTCGACACGTATATCAAGATTGAGTGTATGTATATCAAGATTGAGTGTATGAGGCTTGATTGGTATTCTAACCCGGCAAACCAGAAACTCATATGGGCTGAACTATATCAGGTGAGGCAAATGTTTTCTTTGCAAAATTATATTCCTATATTATATTATATATGTCATGATTAAATAATCATTGAAAATGGGTTTATTGTGCTGGTTGATGTAGGGTATGGTTGATGTAGTTTCTAATGGAGAGACCAGAGCTTCTGAAGTTGGCAAGAGAATTGTGTTGCCACGGTCTTTCCCGGGTGGTGATCGTGACATGATGCGACGGTACCTTAATGCAATGGCCATTGTGCAGCGTTTTGGCAAACCAGATTATTTCATCACAATGACATGCAATCCACACTGGCAGGAGATCACAAAAAATCTTGAGCCTAGGCAGCAACCATAGGACAGACCAGACCTGGTTTCAAGAGTATACAGGGCCAAGTTACGATCATTGATGGATTTATTAGTCAAGAAAAAGTACTTTGGAGATGTTGCAGCCTATGTGCATGTCACGGAATTTTAAAAAAGGGGCTTGCCCCATGAACACCTCCTATTGATTATGAACTCAGGAAGTAAGTTGACAAACCCTGATGCATACGACAAGGTTATTTGTACAGAGATACCAGACAAGGACAAGTACCCTGTGTTGCACCAACTTGTGATTAAGCATATGCTACATGGACCGTGTGGAGTCTTAAAGAGAAAGTGTCCTTGTATGGTTGATGGCGCCTGTCGGTTTCAGTATCCTCGACAATTTTGTGATGCAACACAGTAGGGTAAAGATTCATATCCTTTGTATAGGAGGAGAGATGATGGACGTCGAGTGAAAATAAGAGGTGCTAAGTTAGACATAGGTGGGTAGTTCCATACAATCCTGGACTCCTTATGAGGTATAATTGACACATCAACATGGAAACATGCTCAAGCATCAAAGCCTGCAAGTACCTGTTTAAATATGTATACAAAGGCCACGATCGTGCTGAATTCTCAGTTGACCCTGCTGGAGTTATCAATGAGATCCGTCGGTACCGGGATGCTAGATACATATCACCCCCTAAAGCTGTACACAGGATTTTTTGGTTTTCATCTTTTTGGTGTATATCCCTCTGTTTTGCAACTCCAGTTACATCTACCAAACATGCAGTCTATCATTATTGATGAGTCTCAAAATCTGGAAGATGTTATCAATAAGCCATCTTCAACTATGACTACACTCACGGAATACTTCAAGATCAATCGTGCTAATAGTTTCGCAAGGACATTATTATATAGGGAGTTCCTAGAACACTATCAGTGGATCAGTGGTCGTAAGGTGTGGTAGAGAAGAAAGAAGTAGCTAGGTCAGATTGGGAGGATTGTGTATGCGCACCCAGCAGAAGGGGAGAGATATTTCTTAAGAGTGCTTCTGAACCATGTAAGAGGTGCAACCTCATATGAGGATTTAAGAACAATGGGTGGCATCACATACCCTACTTTTAGAGAAACATGTGAAAAGAGGGGGCTCATCGAGACAAATAATACCCTAGGTGACGCCTTGAGTGATGCTGAAACTTTTTAGATGCCAGCCGCACTATGAAGATTATTTGCGACTATTCTTGTATTTTGTGAGGCCACCAACGTACGTGAGCTATGGGACAAACACAAGGATTCATTGTCTAAGGATTATAGTAGAGACAATTCTAACTCAAGTGTAGTCGAGCAAATGGTGCAGAGAGACATTACAAAAATGATTCAGTCGATGGGGAAGGATATCAGAAATTATGATCTTCTGGAGCTCAATGATGCAGGTAAGTTACATGCAAACGAATTTTTATTTTTTTATAATAATAGGATATTGTTCTATCATGATTAACATTTTTGCATTCATGAAAACCGATGTTTTATTACTTTCTGTCGAATAGTTAAATTTTCCAATGACATGATGAGAGAGGTCAGAGAGGAGCTTTCCATACATGTAGACCAAGAACATTTGGATATATATAAATCTCTTAACAACGACCAACGAGCAGGATTTGATGAAATCATACATCATGTATTGAATAACAAAAGCCGAGTGTTCTTCGTTGATGGTCTAGGAGGAACAGGAAAGACATTCCTATACAAGGCAATTCTTGCTAGAGTGCGCTCAGAGGGATTAATAGGAATTGCTACTGCAACTTCTGGCATAGCAGCTTCGATATTGCCTGGAGGACGCACAGTACGCTCAAGATTTAAAGTCCCAATTACACTTCCTGAGAATAGCACATGCAGCTTTGGAAAGCAAAGCAGCACCACAGAGTTACTCCGTAGGACGTCCTTGATTATATGGGACGAAGCTGCTATGACAAGGCGTCAAGCGATTGAGTGTCTTGATAGGTCTCTGCAAGATATTATGAATTGTTCCCTGCCGTTTGGGGGTAAGTTTATGGTGTTTGGAGGAGATTTTAGACAGGTGCTTCCTGTGATTCCACGTGGAACTAGAGCACAAGTAACTAATGCGTCATTGCAGAGATCTTATTTGTGGGACAATATAACGAAGATCAGATTGACACGTAACATGAGGACTCAAACTGACCCATGGTTTTCAAGTTATCTCCTTAGAATTGGGAATGGAACTGAACAAACCATCGGAGATGATTATGTTCGCCTACCAAAAGATATTGTGATTGGTTATACAGACAATGAAGATTCCATAAACAAACTCATTCAATGTGTTTTCCCATCACTTTAGGAAAATGCGAGATCAGCAGAATATATGAGCACACGTGTCATCCTTTCAACAAAAAATGAGCATGTTGATCAACTAAAACTCAAAGATGATTGCCATGTTTCTAGGTGAGGAGAAGGTTTATCATAACTTTAACTCTATTGATGATGATTCAAGAAACAACTACCCAATTGAGTTTCTGAACTCCATCACTCCAACCACATGTGCTAATAGTAAGAACCAACTACCCTGTTATCCTACTCCGCAATCTTGATCCTAACAATGGCTTGTGCAATGGAACAAGACTAATGGTTAGAGCATTCCAAGACAATGCAATTGACGCAGAAATCGTTGGCGGGCAACATCAAGGAAAGAAGGTGTTCATAACTAGTATCCCTATGTCTCCATTCGATGACATTTCACTCCCTTTCAAGTTGAAGAGGAAACAATTCCCAATTCAGTTGAGTTTTGCAATGAGCATCAATAAAGCGCAAGGGCAAACCATCCCAAATGTTGGGATCTATCTTCCAGAACCTATTGCATTGTTGAGGGGTGTGTCAAGATCAACGACAAGAGTTTTGGCTAGACCAAATCACGAATTGGATTCCACTGAGAACAGCACGAAGAATATTGTTTATAAAGACGTCCTAAACTGTTGATTAATGGTGGGTATACTCAAACTATTTTATTTTTTGTGCTTCATATTTAAATTTATTTCATTTGCATTAATATAAGTACATTATTCGTTGTTTAATTTTTAGCCTTCATATTTTATTATATATGTTATGCTTCTGGCATTCATTATCAAATGAGGTGATGATGTGTGGGAACTGACCTTGTGTAATTTGCGACGTTGCACTGTTGGCAGGTGTGAAGCCTTCTAAACATTCCTCGGGATATACGACCTGATACATGGAAAGATGGCATCTTCAGTTTAATATCACAAAAAGAATGTCCTTTCTTTCTTTCTCTTGTGTTGTAGTGCTGTCGGTGTTTCGAGTAAGCACCAACTAGTAAATTTATATTTGTTGCGCGTTAGGGCCGGATGGTGTGCTAAAAGACACAAGGTTTATACTGGTTCGGGCAGAATGTCCCTACGTCCAGTTTGTTGCTGCTGCTCGTGTTATTAGCACTGAAAAGGTTCGTAGTAGGGGGTACAAACGGTCGAGAGAGGGATAGGTCCCAAGTCTCTGATGGAAAGGTTGAATAGGCGCTGAGAGCTGGGTTGCCGCTCAACTGCATGTAATGTGGTGCGTGGAGTGTAGGATTGATCCGTCCCATTAGTAGGGTGCCCTGCCCTCCCTTTTATAGACCAAGGGGGAGCAGGGACTATAGATGGGACAAAGAGGAAAAACCAGCGGTAGAGAAGGTCCTTCGAAGGTGTCGGGTCTTCCTTTTTCCTTGAGCCTGCCCTGCTGGCAAGGCAGACGGTGCCAGGGATAACACATTTGTTGATCCTGATAGGGCCGTGCTTTGGCTTTGTTCATCAAATGGTCACGTCCCATCTTACTCCGGTGGACGGTGCGACGTGCCAGGGTGCCGAGCTGTAACCCTACGGGGAGCAGACAGGGAAGTGACCATACGTCCGTTACTGTAGATGATATGAGTTTCCTCCTGGATTGTAGTGGTTGT